ACAGACAGACAGACAGACAGACAGACAGACAGACAGACAGACAGACACTCCACCACCACCTTCATCACCACCACCATCACCCAGCAGGCCTCCTGCTCAGCACTCATCCGAATCTGTCTTAGACTCGTCTTCTCATTAGTTTCATGTTTTGGCACAGAGACGCTGCTCTGCTTTTCTCCAGACCTCTCACTCTTCATCTCTCCTGGGGACGAGAAAGACAAGGTTGCCAGTTTGATTTCTTCCTCTTCCTCTTCCTCTTCCTCTCCCTCCTCCTCCTCCTCCTCCTCCTCCTCCTCCTCCTCCTCCTCCTCCTGTCCTCCTTCTTCTTCAGTTTTCTCCAGGCTTTCCAGCCGAGCATCCACTCTGTGTTTTATCTGGGTCAGCTCCTTCTTCTCAAAGGTCTGAAGATCATCTTTCAGCTCTCTGGATCCCAGTTGTCCAATCTTCAAATTGAATCCATTTTTGCGGCTTTGTGAGGAGTTTCCCAACATACACTATATTTAGAAGGCACCATAGCATGAGCAATGGAAGAAGAAATACATGCTGGGTAATTGTACATCCTGTCATAATCATTCCATTGGCCAAGTCAATCGAGGAACCGTACATCCTTGCTGCAGAGCATTTCACACCTGTTTCCCTCCACTTACTCTTGGCTCTGCAGCCAGATTCATAGCTAAAACCTGGCCAGCAATCATTCTGTCATCCTCTCCGGCTATAGCATCTCTCTCATTAATACACTTGACAAAGGCAAAGCCCCTGTGCACAGAACAACCCAGATTTTTGCCTTTGAAAAGATTGCTTCCAAATCAGACTTCTTGATCATGAGAGTGTTGAGATTCTCAATGAATACAAGAGATTTCTTGGCTGGAGGATCTAACCTGTTGATAACATTGATAGCCATCTCTTTTGAAGATAAGCTTTTTTTGTGAAACCAAAACTATAGGGGAGATCAAAATGTTTTTCACAAGAGAAGGAGGATAAAAACTTACACTGAGAGGGTCTATGATTCTCAAGATATAGCAGGTGGGGAGCTCACAGCTGTCTGTGCTAATCCCTCCAGCCAAGAATGAAAACCACCATCCAAAGTAAAACCAAATAAGCAAGTTTTATTTACTGTACATAGGAGTGACTCTCTAAAGCAGGATTTGAGAATACAATACTGGTTGGCTTTTCATGCCTCCTTTTACAGAGGAAAAGGTGTAACATAAGGATTTTGCAAGCCAATTTTACAGAAGCAGATAGCAGATTAGAGTATTTGACAGATCTTCTTGGCAGAACAGCTCAGGTTCCTTGGCAGGGCACGTTATCTTATCACGGTAAAGGATATGTAAGTCAAACTTGACTTCTGCAGCAAATACAAGCGACTTATTTGGACCTTGTAACAAAATGGCTTTTTATCCTAAGATGGAATTGGGCTGATCCATCATCTGCTCTCTGTCTCTTCCCTGAAATCCCCTTATTGTGTTTCTCAGTTTCAAGTTGTGTTTGTGTCTGCACATGAACCTGTGCACCCAGCAGGCTTTTCTGTGATGTTTACTTTTACAATGCAGGAGGGAGCGATAGAGAATAGAGTTCATTCCCAATGTGACAGTTGAATAAAAATTTATCTAAATTCTTCCTACTTTCTGTTTGCTGGAACCTGTGACATAAAAATCTCAGTTCTTCAGGGATCTAATAATAAAATCTGAAAGAGAAATTTGAGGAGGAAGAAATTTGTTCCCATGTGCCACGCAGATGCCAGTTTTAAGGAGCCAAGTCTTTTGGTGCGTTAATATGACATCACCTTAAAAGTAGTGATTTCCAAACTGGATCATATGATTCCAATGGCTGCCTGTGTTTCGAAGGAAAAGCGTTCAGTATGTGGTTGGAAACATAGCAGATTGGATCAAGATGCAAGACTGGGAACAAATCCTAACACTCTTCTTTCCTCTTTCCCAGATCTCCACAAACTACAGAAGAGTTAGGTGGAGACATAAACCCATGCCCCACTCCCAGTGCTGGGACAGAGTACAGAGACTATAGCACGGTAGGCAAGCTGGTAGGCAAGCCTTCCGCCTTGAAGGAAAAGTCACTGAGATGTTGCTGAACAGTATTTCCTTACCGGGCAACCCTGAGATTACTTCAGCCAGGCCAATTTTACCAACAATCATCCAGGAATAATTCCAGAGTGGAAATGCAAACTCTAAAATTTGAGATCTAAAAGATTTTATGATCAGATATAAAACAAGGCTTATAAAGATAACCACGGCCTGACATAAGGTGATGTCCCAGGAACTAAACAAAAGGAGTCCAGCAAACCAGTCTTTGATATGTATTGTGAATGTTCACATATGAACCCAGCCTGCATGACTAAGCAAGGGAATATATCTGGAAACATGACAGATAAAACTGCTTACCTTCCATAAACTATATCCTAGGAAATACATATAATTTGAGTGATATAAATATGGCCTTTGAACGATCTATGGAACGTGGGCTGGAGAGGTGGCTTGGGTGCAAGAGTACATTCTGCTCCTCCAGAGACCTGTACTCAGTTCCCATCATCCACAGCAGGAGGCTCACAACCAGCTGTAACTCCAGCTCCAGAGCAACCTTACCCCCTCTTCTGTCCTTCACAGGGACCCACGCACATGAGACACACATAAATAAAAAATAAATCTAAAAGAAAAGCTACAGAAAGTGTTAATACAACAGGTGAGTAATTAAGAACACTGTATATACATATATTTACTTATTATGTCTTAGTTAACCACCCAATCACATAAAAATGTTTGAGAAAATTTAGAGCACAGGGGGATATTTAAGCTACGAATTCCAAGGCATTATAAAAATTAATATCCTCTTGCAAAATTCGAGCAATTTCAAGTGTCTCAAATCTTATCTGCCCAAGAAATTCATTGGAAAAGAGAAGTACCAGCCCAGGAGATTCACTGGAAAGAGAGACAGCTGGAATCAGTTTTAAGGAGTAGATTGGAGTTTAGTTAGACAACTCTTGGCAGTCATTACTTTATTCCCCCAAACAATTAAAATAACCCAAATGTTGTAATTGTGAGCACAGGAAGATAACTGGCTGGGTTTTGATCATATACAATCCAACTGCTCCTTGCAATAGCTATTAGTCACCTGAGGTTATTTAACCTCGAATCGAAATTTTAAAATTAAATATTTTACAGCTTAATCATATTGTGTGCCTATCATGTGTGCCATGCCTGCCTGCATCTACCAGATTAGTGGAAATACAGAATGTTTGTGCTATTAGACAATCAGAAGGGCCATGACACTCCTGAGAAGAGTAAACACATTCTCTTTAAGCCCTCATATTCTTCCCTATCCTGTTTTAGTGTACAGAATCTCTCCCCTTACTACCCTTTCCAGCAACAAATATATAGGTCGCCTTTATTGATATAATGCACTTACTAAAGCTTTTTTAAAAAATAAATTTAAGTTGGTAGAGTGCTTGCCAAGAGTGCATGAAGCCAAAGCTGTGCACTTCACCTCCATGATGTTGTGGTGGCCTATATGATTGAAGTTCCAGACCCAGGAGGACCAGAAATTCAGTCATCCTTGGCCACATCTTGAGTTTGAGGGTCAGCCTGGTCTACATAAAACTGTGATTGAGAGAGAGGGTGGGGAATAAAGAAACTCACGGAGTTGAAGTAAGCATTGTTTTATTGTGCTTCTAAAAAATACCATAGTATTACAGTGTAGATATTTTTTAAATTTTCTTTTAGATTTTATGCATGGGAGTGTTTGCCTGCGTATGTCTGTGCACCTGTGGGTATCTGATGCTGCCTACTGAGGACAGAAGATGGCTCAAGCAATGGATCCCCTGGAGCTGGAGTTGCAGATAGTTGTGAGACATCCTACAAGTTCTGGGAAGCGAACCCCAATTCTTTGAAAAAAAACAAATGTTCCTAGTAGCCAAGCCATCTCTCAAGCTCCTATCATGGGAACTTTGTTGGAACAGACTCTGACACAGTAGCCCAGGTTGGCCCAAACTTTGTGATTCCACTTGAGTGTCGGGAGTAACGAGCGTGATCCGGTACTCAGTTTCCCCGGCACACGTAAGGGATGTGTCTTTCTGTGTTTTTCTCTTTGAGATCATGGTGTTTCCACAGAAAGGGCCTCTTACCTTGGGAAGACCGATCGAAAGACACAAGTAATTCCAGTTCTTGCCTCTGGGTCTTCCCTTCAGTGAAGACCTCACTCAATTCCTCCAAGTCCGCAAAGGGCACCAACCTGATGCCAGCTGCCATCTAGCGGCGGGATAGGGCAAAGGCGCCTTCGCCCCGGGACTTCCAGCGGTTGCCAGGTAACGGGAGTCGCGCGCCGCTAAGGAGCAGAGCGCTGCAAGAAGGACGCGCAGGGTCGTAACAACACGGCCTTCCATTGGCTGGAGAGCACTCGGCTCCCGCCTGAGCCAATGCGCAGATGGAAGCTGATGACGTCGTACGCGACTCCTCTTCCCCGGCTACTGGGACCTATCTGGAGACCCAGTCTCCTGTCGCAGCGCTCTGTGACCTGGCTGCCTTATGTGGACTCCGCAGCTGCACCTGCTGGTGGCGGTGGTCTTGATGCTTTCTGATGCCGCCCGGCCGCAGCCCTCCTCCACGGCCCGGGCTCTGCCCACCGCCTGGGACCTGGGGCCAGTGACGCCCGAAGTGCCTACTGCAGCTCCTCCGGACTCGTCTGAGAGTCCTACTCCCTGGACGCTATCGATACCAGAGAACGCGACCACCGACCTCTTCCCAGGTGATGCGGCGGGATACGGGATGGAAATACTGACTTCTCGGATCTAAAATTGTGTAGACAAAATTGCCTTGCCACGTAACTGGCAATGGGGCTGTCGGCGCGGGAAAACTTTGGGGAGCTTCATCTCGCTTTACTTCTTGCACTTACAGCCTTACCGATCTGTGTCTGTGACTTGACTCCTGGTACCTGCGATTTAAACTGCTGCTGTGACAAAGACTGCGATCTTCTCCATCCCAGAACAGTCTTTTCCTTCTGCCTTCCTGGTAGTGTAAGGTGAGCTGCCCTGCTCTGGCGGAGAAGAGTGAGTTTCCTACTCCTAGTCCCCCGCCTCCCGCCCCCGTAGGATGTTCTCTTGGGCTTTCCTGGGAGTGCTGAGCCATCCAGGAAAACGGAACCTGAGTGTTGCACCTCTGCCCACAGACCCCCTTATTGGCATCAGACATTGGTGGGGTAGGCCCTTTCCCTAACCATACCCCATGCCTCGCCTCAGTATCTTCACCTTTCCTCGCAGATCTTCAAGTTGGGTATGTGTGGACAACTCTCTCATGTTCCGGAGCAACTCCCCATTTCCTTCTAGAGTTTTCACGGACTCCAGTGGAATTACACAGTTTTGTGTCCGCGTGAACAACTGTGAGTAGAAACAAGTTTGGCTGCTCTTGTCATTTAATGTTTATTACAACGTGACTTTGTCTTTGGAATCTCTCTCTCCCACCCCCAGTCCCTATCGCTCACCTCTCTTACCTTCTTACTTTTAGTTAGTAGAGGACACTAGTAATTTCAGAAACCTCCAGTGACTCTCCTTTAAAATAATCCTCGGCACCTACCTTTAGCCTAGCAACCAGCGCTGCTTGCTTGCTTGCTTTCTTTCTTTCTTTCTTTCTTTCTTTCTCTCTTTCTTTCTTTCTTTCTCTCTCTCTCTCTCTCTTTCTTTCTTTCTTTCTTTCTTTCTTTCTCTTGCAAGCTTTTCTCTAATGATTTTATACTGCCCTTTTACTTTTGGACAAACTCATGTTCACTGTCCTCAAGCTATGCTTTAAATTTTTCCAAAATTTTCTTTGCTCTTCTCCTTGACTCAAATGGCCCTCTTTCTCCTTGCATTGTGAACATCTTAGCTCTCCTAAGAATCTTCTGTCATCTGCCCAAGTGAGCCCATCCTCAGAAGTTCTGAGACGCTCGTTCTAAGTCATTCATTTAGAATTTGGAGAGTTCCTTGTATGGTTGTCAGTTTATGTGATTATTATGACTTCCTCCAGAGAAATTGTCATCCCCTTAAAAGGACAAACTGTGGGGCTAGATGCTGAGAGATGGCTCAGCATGTAAGAACACTGGCTGTTCTTCTAGAGGACCCAGGTCCAATTCCTAGCACCCACATGGCAGCTCACAACTGGCTGTAACTCCAGCTCCAGGGGATCTGTCATGTTAACACAGACATACATACAAGCAAAACAGCAATGCACATAAAGTGAAAAATAAATCATTTTTTAGAAAGGGGCAAACTGTATATGTATGCACAATGGATAAAATGTCTTGAAAATGATCATGGCGGGGATGCGCTATTCCTAACAGGGTCTCTACAGCACGGTAGAGGGGGAATACTACAGACCAGCAAGTAGGGGGTTGAGGATCTGCTCCTGGTTTTGCTCGCTTAGTCTGAGGTCCCTTGCAACTCCCTTGCCTCAGGATATCCAAATTTCCTAGTGGGATTGATTGTGTAGGCTTCTTTTCACATCCAGTTATATCAGTGTAAACTGATACCTGTAAACTGTTGGCTGATGGTATGCCATGTGTGATGGTGGACACCAACAAGAATATGAATATGAATTCATATATGAACAATGTACGTGTGTGTATGTATATAGCCTTAGCTTGTATGTCATATCTGCATTATGTCCTTATCACTACTTCAACCAATACACCTGTACTGAAATGAGGGGGGCGAGTGGTCATCTGTGGGGCTAGAGAGATGGCTCAACACCTAAGAGCACTGGCTGTTCTTCCAGAGGACCCAGGCTCATTTCCCATCACCCACATGGCAGCTCACAACTGGCTGTGTCTCAATCTTCCTGAGAAGAGCTATGAAAAGAATCCATAGCTGTTGACCCTGAACTTGTCCTTTCTCTCTACTTCACTTTAACTTCCGCATACTAAGGTAGCAGTGACTGGATTTGATAGAAGGCAAGTAGCCTTTCTGTGCAGTTTCTGGAGGAAGTCGCCGAGCTGGAAGCCTGAGCTCCTGGAGATGCAGGGCAGGAAAGGTGGTGTACAGATCAGGCATCAGCATACCTGTGTCCGAACAGTACTTTATTCTGTAAAAATTCCACTTATTTACTGGGGAGGGGGGGGGGGGGGGACAGCACACACACGCGTGTGACATGAATACCTGCCATAGCACACTTACGGAGCTAGAAGGACAGCTTGTGAGAATTAGTTCTCCTCTTCTTCCAGTATGTAGGTCCCAGGGATCAAACTCAGGTTGTCAGTCTTGGTGGCAATTGCCTTGACCAGGTGAACCATCTTATAGTTCTTTCTTAAACTCTGATGCTCATTTGCGTGTGATAATGTGTGTTTGTTGTGCTTCAAAGGTTGTTTCTTATGCCAAACACTTAAAAAGAAATGCTTTTTATCAAAGTTTCTGTTCTTTTTAAAAACAAAATTTTAGCAAAATCAAACTATTTCCAGAAGCTCCAAACAGTCAATGCAACCAACTTCCAGGCCCTGGCTGCAGAGTTTGGAGGCCAGTCCTTCACTTCGACACCGAAAACCCAGCCTTCAGTACTGTTCTATAGGGTGAGCCTGGGGAAGGGCATGGGGACAGTCTGGTTTTCCCGACAGAGTGCCGTTGGCCGGCCGTGTAACTCTGTAGTACCCTCCTAAGATGAGGTAAACCATGCTCATCAGAACTATGTAGTTAACCTTTGTTTCTGTTTCCCTTTCCTGGGCTGTTGAGTCTAACCTCACAGCGAATGAGTCTGTCGTCTATTTTATTCAGGCTGGGGATCCCATCCTGATCTACTACCCCAGCTCGTCTGTAATGAGCTTACTGAGGCAGCCAGCAGCAGTGGGAGCTGGGGGACTCTGTGTTGATAGCAACCCTGCAGGTGGGTCTGGGGCGGGAGCACACCAACCTTTGGCTTTTTTGTAAACAGGCTTTCTCACTGACCACTGCTGTCTTCCCTCTTTGTGTTATAAGGTTTCCTAGAGAGTAAAAGCACAACATGTCCTCGTTTCTTCAGGGACCTGGCCAGTAGCTGCACCTTAGAGCCAGCCCTGAATGCTGCCTCTTACTATAACTTCAGAGTCTTGAGGGTAGGTCGTTCCTCTCTGTTTACTCTACAGACCCGCCTCACTCAAATCACTCAGCCTCACTGTGAAGCTTGTATGCCATGGTTGTGTGCTGTAGAAAAATCCCTACGCTGGAGCTTACAATTAGTAAGATAAGACCTCGTCACCATCCTGGCTGATGGGTTTACTTGAGAGTGAAGAAGCCGAGACAGTCCCCTGTTTTGCCAAAGTTCTTGCTTTTTGAGCAAGCTCTGTCTGGGAGTGTGGCATTCAATATAGTGTGGCATTGAACTTCACACTGATAGTTAGTGAGGGGAGAGTCAAGTGAAAGATCTGAGGCCACTCCAGAATTTTGATCTTCCCTTCCCCTACCAAAGTCTGTTTGAAGTGGAAACTCCTGGTGATTTTATGGAAGGCATGTACACCCTCATGTTTCCATTCTTCGTCTTTCCTAGGTTCCAAGAGGTATGACTGATCTTCAGAATATGAAGGTATGATGCTGTTTATCAGGAAGAACAATACCTGGCTAATACCTATCTGAGGCCATTTTATTCTAAATTATAATACTGGAGGAGAATGTAGACATTTTATACCACAAATGTAGATCTAGAAATATCTTCACATGAAGTAAAGATTAGTGACATGTTGGTAAGTCTAGAAAACACCTGAGTTAAACCAAACTAAATGCTGCGTTTGGAGTGGGCGTCTTTTAAGTCTCTTCACATAATAGCAGGCATATGAGTGTCTAAGAGGGAAGTACAGGATTCTTCACATCTGATTGGCTGTAGCCCTTGCTTCATATCTGATAGAACCAGTGTCCCAAGAAGCTTGTACTGAGACGTGCTGATTCAGAATGACCTGATTTTAAGTTGTCTGTCACTGGAAGGAGAGAAAAATGGGATAGTCAAGGGGAAAGAAAAGCATTCATTTTAGCATAATGCATAGCTAGCATGCGTTTCTCCTGTTGATCTGCTTCTACCTCTCACCAGTTCCAGGTTCCTGTAACACTTGCCTCACAAACCAGCCCGCCTCTGTTGGCTGGAAACACGTGTCAGAATATCGTGTCCCAGGTATGGAAACTCAAATTCTGGACTGGTGCATACCGGTCAGTATCACCAGAGGGACCTCATCTTCCTGTAAGGAGCAGAGCACCGGTTCCCAACCTTCCTAATGTTGTGACCCTTTATACAGTACTTCATGGTGTGATGATCCCCCGACCATAAAATTATTTTGTTGCTACTTCATGACTGTCACTGTGCTGTTATGAATCGTAAATATAAATGTCTGTGTTTCCCAGTGGCCTTAGGCGACCCTATCCCCCACCCTCCACCCCGTGAAAAGGTCATTCAACCTGCAATGTGGTCGTGACCCACGGGTTGAGATCCACTGGGCTAGACTGACTCACCGACTGCTGGTCATCATCTCAGCTCGTGCGTCAGGAGTTGAGCCTGTCACTCTCGTCCCCACCATGTTTTCAGTCACGTCCATCACTATTGTCCTCCAGTGTTTTAGGTTCAGACTCCTCCTTTGTACGCACAGTCTAGCACCGGCTCTCACCGACCTTGCACACTTCCATATGCTGCCACAGTATCATAGCCAAGTCTAAGATTAGTCAACTGTAAATTTCTCTTATAACCAATGAAGATGGGTAAAGGAATAAGAATTATCTTAAAATATTATCTTAAGTATCCCTTCTGTCCCCAGCTACTATCTTTATTTCTCTTCAGACACTTAAGGGCCTAATAACCCCGGTTTCCAGTCCATACTTACCCTGTCCAGTTCCACACCTGCCTGTCTGGCTCACACTCAAACTCTTTTAACTAAGCACACCTCTTCCGTGAACTTTCCCTAAGAGCCATATTTGGTCTCTATTTCACATGCAAATGCAATATCAAGCCATCTTTATCCCGACATGCTATTGGTTTTGATCTGTTCTGATTGTTTCGTAAGCCTCTTGCATGCAGTTAAAAACACAGACAGAAGAGTCTTCTGTGCTAAACACTTTAAGGCCACAATTTTGATTAATGGAGTCTCCTTTTGTTTTTCAGGTCATCTACGAGATAGAGACCAATGGGACCTTTGGGATCCAGAAAGTCTCTGTCAGCTTCAGACATACCAACCTGACTGTCAAGACAGGAGTTTCCATACAGCAGGACTTCGTCGTTCACTTTAGGGTCAGCAGCCTTCACTCTGAGAGGGTTCAGAGGCTCAGTCCTAGAGATAGCACTTTACAGAGCCAGTATCCATACTGCATCTGCCTGTGTCTTTCTGAGTACCTCTCTTTCTCCTACAGAATTATCTTTAATAAAATCTCCCACTCTGCTTCATAGAAAAGAAATGATAATCTGTTTCTGTGATGTGTGTGAAACAGAATCCGAACATTAAGGCCTACTTTGGTCTTAATTGAGGTCTCAACAGTTACTGTTCCTTAATTTAACTAGAGTGACAGATACTCAATACATGTGTACCATTAACATTTTCTCTGATGCTCTGTTTGGACCCAACCAGAACAGTACTGAACTTGTTAAAGATGCTCACTGTGTTCAGTCAGCAGCACACAGAAATTCTTTTACTCTGTTTTTTCATCTTTGAACATTCGTAATTGTATTTCCTAGTGACCTCTGATTTGTGGTCTCCACTGCTGTCATCTTTCTTCTGCTTCTTTACTCCTTTAAAACCAAGAGAGTTCTCTCCAAGTATGTGATCAGCCAGGCTCTGTGTCTCTCACAGTCCCGTTACTGATTAAAATTCAACTTATATTTAGATTCCTCTGGATTCGGCCAGGCTGCATACACATTGCATGAACTCAGTATCAGTGTTTGAGAAACAGTGCCAAGGGATCCCGAGTGAGTCCTTGGCTTCAATCCTTGGCAGAATTAGCATGGAGTGAATTTCAGCATTCAGATTGCTCAGGATCAGGGAGAGAGCACTTGCCTAGCATATACAAGACCCTAAGTTTAATCCCCAGCACTCCCCAAAACAGAATGACAAACAGATCATTCCAGATTTATGTTAGAGAGGGAAGAGGGGGTGGCGGAGATGATACTTTAGTGTGGTGAAGGGAAGCTTCTCAGTGCAGCTCAGTTTGCCTATTTGGAGGGAAGGCATAAGTCAAGTTGGGAAGCCTGTCTGCACAGTGATTGTCTTCTTCCTTCTGCAGGCATTTCAACAGAGAAAAGCTGCTTTTCCTGCTGCTCCGAGAAGCGGGAATCCTGGCTACCTCACTGGGAAGCCACTCTTGGTGCTAACTGGTGACTTAGGTCACTCGGTATCTTTTTGGGGGCTGGGTGGACTATTGCAGCCTAACAAGGAAGGTTGCTGACCTTCCGGGTTTTCCAGTTCTAGAGGTTCTGTTGGGCTTTGGTAGCCTGTTCTGTACCAAAGTATATTCTGTTCTTAAAGGTTGATGCCACCAAAGGCTTTATACCTCAGACATCTAACGGTGAAAATTACACGGATGTTTGCTTATTTTAGTGTGATGTTCGTATGCTAATATATGGTTAATGAGTTTTTAGAAAGACAATATTTGTCTGGTTTTTTAACGACTAAAGAAAATGTGTGACCAAACTGACAGTTTATTAGTAAAATACAAACAGTGCTTAGGGTACAGTAAAAGCATCGATTTCCCAGCCCCGCCCACTTCCTATTTCTGTTATAGTCTCCTTGACTGTCACTTTTGCACCTCAGATGACCCTGTTGCGGAGCGAGGGTAATGGGCTTTGCTCTGCTAAGAGACACGAAGTACAGTTTGGTGTGAACACAGTGTCTGGGTGCCAGTTAAGGTAATTATTTGCCTCAGAGCATGTTCCACCATTTTGTTTCTGTTTATATGGACAATGTAGAAGTAGTAACTGTTTACTACTTTAAATAACACTTTAGAAAAAGAAAGTCTTTACATCTATGGAGGGCCTGCTAAGGTTACTTCCTCCGATCCCTATCACGATATTAATTTTATGTTCGAATGCTAATATGGGGTCGCCACCATGCTGGTGTTGGGCTCCAGCCTCCACGGTGTTTTGCTTTCAGACCCAAAGAGGTGAACTGCAGCCACTTGCAGAGGGAGATTTACCAGACTCTTCATGGAAGGCCCAGACCAGAACTCATTGCCATCTTTGGTAATGCTGACCCAGCCCAGAAAGGAGGGTGGACCAGGATCCTCAGCAAGAACTGCAGCCATTCAGTAAGGAAGGAAGCCACTGCTGAGTGGTGACTTGTTCTCCACCTTTGCAATTATGGCTAGCAAGGCAAAAATCAGTCTTGAGTCTGTCTGTATTTATCATATCAAGAAGAATGTAAGAAATTATACCCATCTGGGGTCCATGTTTCAGGTTACACCTCCATCTAATCTACTTTCATTACTTTAAAATAAACGTGAAGATCATCTAGAGAAATTCTCGACCTGTGGGGTCGTGACCCCTTCTGGGGTCAAGCAACCCTTTCACAAGGGTCGCCTCAGACCATCAGAAAACACAGATATTTTCATTATAATTTATAAGAGCAAAATTACAGTTATGAAATAGCAACAAAAATAACTTTATGGTGGGGGGAGGGTCAGCACAACATGAGGAACTGTATTAACAGGTTCCAGCATTAGGAAGGTTGAGAGGCACTGATGGTATCTTATAGTTCAAAGCCAAGCCGTATGTTTCAAATATTCTCTCATATTCCTGTTTTCATTCCATTTGTCATTTAAGTGCATATGTGTGGAAGTCAGAGGGAAGCTTGGAGAGTGGTCCTGTCCTACCGTGTAGGGATCAAACTCAGGCTGCCAGGCTTGGGAGCAAGCAAGCTTTGCCTGCTGAGCCGTGTTTGCAGCTATACTTAGAGCCTTAACTATTTTGTCAGTACGGGTTTGTTTATGAGGCTGGCAGCAGGTTTACTGTCTTACGATCCCAACAGGTCAGGTTTTTAGGACAGTGTAGAACCCTTGCCGGGTAGTTGAATTGGGTTCAGTTCTGAGCACCACCAAATGAAGATCATGTTTCACATACTGAAGGAGTATTAAGGGTTTAAAAATTGAAGTCAAATAGGATGTATCTTCCTACGTCTTGCAATTGTTTCTCTTAGGGCACTGCTGTAACTATGCCAGGTGTCTGTTAGAGCTGTGTACATGGCTCCCTGATGCCTTCAAAACAGACTTAGACTCTAACCCCAACCCTGTGTCATTATTTCTGTGTTCCAATCCTTTTTTTTTTTTTTAAATCAAAGTTGTTTGTTCAAGGCCACGACCTTTCATATCCTTAGGAGACACTTTGTTGCTGTCACTTAGTGTTTCTCCTCAGCAACCTGTGCCGTTCTAATTGTGTGCCTTTTTGGAAGTTTTAAGGAACATAACTGTATATATGTATGGACCGTGTGTGACATTTCAGCACATTCATGCACTATTTAGTGATCATTTCCATCCTTATTGTTACATTCAGAGGCTGCTTGCTTCTCTTTTTTATTTTTTCTTTCAGTGCTAGGAATTAAACCTTCAGATTTTGTATAAAATATACAGTCAGTTATTTAAAACTTAGTTGCCCCACTGTGCTGTGAACCATCAGCTATTTAAAACTGTTTAACTGTAACGTGGTACTAACCTTACTCTCTGTATACACTATACCACCTTTAACTAGTCTCCAGTAATCACTGTAGAATTCCGTTCTTCTGTGTTAAGATCAGCATTTCTCTCCACATGGTGGTGGCGAACACCTCTGATCCCAGCACTCAGGAGGCAGAGGTAGTCAGGTCTCTGAGAATCTGAGGCCAGCCTCGTCTACAGAATGAGTTCTAAGACAGCCGGGGCTGCAGAGAGAAACCCTGCCTTGAACAATCAAATAGAATGTAGTGTCCACAGTGTCCACCCATTTTGCTGCAAATGTCAGGGTTGCGTTTTTTTTTTCTTTTCTTGAGTGAATGAATCATATTCCATTGTATGGATACCACATTTTTTCAGCCTTTTATCGCTCGATAGGAACCTCTGTGAAGAGCCTATGTTGGTTGTTGTGAGTGGCAGTGCAGCTATCTCTTTGGCAGTGTGGTTTCATTTTCATTGAATAGTTACGCACCCAAGAGTAGAATAGCTAGACCAGATGGTAGACATATCTTTAGTTTTCAGAAGACTCTTCATTCTGTTGTTCATTTTTAAATACAATTTTTTAAAGATTAGGAACATTTATATGGCCTGGTTTTGTACTTTCTCTAAGCCATATGGGCCTCTGAATTATTACACAATGCTTTTTTTTTTTAATATGTAGCTCTGATTCACTCTTTTTTTTTTTAATTTATTTATTTTATTATGAGTACACTGTAGCTGTCTTCGGACACACCAGAAGAGGGCATCCAATCTCTTTATGGATGGTTGTGAGCCACCATGTGGTTGCTGGGATTTGAACTGAGGACTTCTGGAAGAGCAGTCCGAGCTCTTAACCGCTGAGCCATCTCTCCAGCCCCTACACAATGCTTTAAATAGCAATAGCTCCTCAAGAGATGCTGAGAAACGAGGGATCAGTAGTTAAGAGCACACGTTGGTGGCTCACAACTGCATATAACTCCACCTATGGGGATCTGACACTCTAGCCTCCACAGGCACCTGCACATGTGCAAACAGAGACAGACAGACAGACAGAGACATGCATACACATCCATAAAAATAAATCTTTACAAAACAACAGAAACGATGGCGACTGAGCGCATGCTTCTTTATGTCTACAGGCAGCTAACTGCTCTTCCTGCTGTCTGATACCAGTGTCCCTGGAGATCCAGGTGTTGTGGGCACATATAGGACTTCAGTCCAACCCACAAGCTCATGTGTCAGGAGCCCGATTCCTGTACCAATGCAAGTCTGTGCAGGTAAGTCATGTTCCTCCCAGCCATTTGACGACCAGGGCGTTGTTAAACTTCTGAGAGCCAGTGTATGTTACCAATCAATGTTGCTTTAGACTGAGTCCCCAGAATCCAATTTTAGGTCTGTCTTTCCAGCATGCTTATGAAAATTAGCATTTTGTCAGAGTGAATGCAACCATATCCATTCTTCTCCACCCTGATTTCAGATCTCTTTTAAATAACCCTACTGTTATTAGTAATCTGACCACAGAAAACATACCTTATGCATGTGTGCTCACTGCAACAGTCACTCAACTAATAATGTTTCGGAATCTGTTTGTTGTGATTACATTACTGTTGCAGTTACCAATTCTTGCTTCTATGGTCCCCATTAAATAAATGCTTTCATCTGGAGTAAACATATGTCTCCAGTTCATAACATGCTGTAGGATACACTTAGCATCTGCCTTGGTTTGAGAGTATGTAGTCTTTGGCTTTAGAGATTCAAACATACAGTACTTTTACCTAGATATACTGAGGTGAGGTGATCCATGTGTGGACCGGGATGCTACTATTTTCAGTGAAAATTAAAACATTGTAATTTCTGTTTGCTGCAGTATATTTGCTTTCCAGGAAATTAACAGGTTGCTGCATTCAGGCCTGGCATAACATACTTACACTCTCCCAAGCAGCAGGATTGGGCAACTTGGTTGTCTTTGCCTAACAGCGGTGATAACACTCGGTTATCAGGAAGTTCCACTGAGAGCTTCCTGTTCTTTGCCTAGGTGGACATGTTTCTGAAAGACTCATGTAGTCAGGTACAGAACCTGCACTGAATCCCGTGATAAGTTTTCCTTACTAGAGTTCTGTTGCCACAGGGCTGTTTTTGTGTTTGTTCTTTTCCAAAGTCTCTGCCTCTCTTGGGCATTACAGCCACCGAGTGCTTGTTTTCTTCTAGACACTTTACCCCATGCCCTTTTCTGGTAGTTTTCTTTGCCTACAGTACTGTCCAGTCATTCAGTCTACCTGATGGATGTGGATAATAGAGTTTCAGCTGCGTTTTGATCATGAGTAGCTAAAGAACCAGTAGCTAGTCCAGTGGTAAGACTGAAAAGGGACCGCAGAAGAACTGAGACATCACACCTCTGGCTCTTTTTTTGGCTTTAGTCGGATAACAGTTATCAGCCAGAACTCTGACCTAAATAGTAACACCCATCAATTTTATTGTTTCTAAATTATATATCAAAGAAAGCATTAAAACTCAACAAAGAAAAACATTTAAGGAAAAAATAAATAAAAGAAAAACCAGAGCTGAGGGAAATCACAATGTACCTGATGGTGTCTTTTATGTAGAGTAAAGAACTTGTGTCTCAGTCATGGATTACACTCTGACCAAAAATATATGTTTTAGTTCATAGTAGAGAGTGTAACTGCAAAGACACAAATCTCAGAGGAAGCATTCCAGCTTCTTAATAATAGTTTCATTTGTAAAGACTTGGTGGAGAACATGGTGGTATAAGAATTGACTTAGATGCAGTAAGTTGCAGTAATGTGTAAGATGTATATCCCGTTATAAAAGCCAAACAAACCCAACCAAACTCCTCATGCTGTTGGTTAGTGAATCTCATGTTAAAGAAGGGATGTTGCCGGGCTGTAGATTGAAGAAGAGCAGAGAAACTCAAACCTCAGGAAGTGCCAATGATGCTTTCTAAAGTTAACATCATAAAATACTGTCACGTACACTAGAAACCAGTGACGCGGACCACATAGAACAGAACTGGAGCCAGAGTATAAGGACATGTGCCACTGTGGCTCTGCAAAAGACCTCAACAAAAGACCTGAGGCGAGCAGAGGCTGAGGGAATTGTTTCAGTGACTCACGCCACCCAGTGAGTCCTCTACTTTTGCCTGTTCATAACCTTAAAGTGCAAATACAGAAACGTTAGACTTCAAAATTCTAATCTAGCACACTGCACATACCTGAAAAGCCTTGTTTTCCACATGATAATAAAACTACTCTCTCTAATGGGTCAGCCATGTTCAGTGTTATTCATTGACCTGGAAAGTACAGTTCCATCCCTCTGAACTGGACGGTCTTCTGGGCTTCACGCAATTGTGAAGACACAATTGTGGTTTTAATTGGAGTATAATGATTGTCCATGTTTATGGGATACAGAATGGGATGTTGATAGCTATAATGATCAAAAGAGAATAGCTAGCATTTCCATCTCATATATGACCTTCATTCCCTTTGTAAACCCCGCCTCCACCCACAGTTCTCTTAGATTAGTGTCTTCCCATTTCAGTGAAAGGGGAGTTTCTGATCTGTTTTGTGGACGCACTGTTTTGAAGACATCTTGAAAGTCCAGTCAAGTAGCATCTCTCATGAGTGCATGTCCTGTATGCAGCTAAAGGACAGCTGTTCAGACAGCGTATTGTATGTGGCTTCTTAGCCACTGAAATGTCACCGAGGATGAAAACTGTATTATTATTAAGTAGACACAGATGTCACAGTTGCTTTTTGGGGCTCATGGGTGTCTGGAAAATCAGTTCTAGATTGAAAACTCTTTTCTCTGCCTTAGAAATCAATGAAAAGGAGCCAGACATAGAGCTTGAATGTCAACGTGGTTAGTATGTCAGCCACCCTAGCTGATCATTCCCTATTGTATTTATGGTTTAGAATAGTACAATCTACCCAAGAAATATATATATGAATGATTGATTGATTGATATGTATATTAAAAATAAAAGATAAAAACTTAAAAAAAAAAAAGGAGTCAGATGAGTAGACATTAAAATATTAGTTTGGCCCCAGGAAATGGTTCAGCCAATTACCAATTAAAGGCACCTGCCACCAAACCTGATGACTTGAGTTTAACCTCTGGGACCCACAGGATGGAAGGACAGAAGTGACTCCCACGAGTTGTCCTCTGATACACACACACACACACACACACACACACACACACACACTCTGCATGCAGAGAACAAAAATTAAAAAACTAAATGTCATAGAAACCAAAGAATCAGTTTTGTTACTGATGGGCACTGTGTAGACCACAGCCCTTTCCTAACCTCTGCTCTGTGCAGTGGCCTTCCAGGACAACTAGGCAGTTCAAAGCTTGTCTTCCTCCCAAAGGTCTGAAGTGAGTCAGAGCAGCACACTACCTGAAACCCTAACCAACACTAAGCCCAGAACTGAAAATTAACTCTCTGATCCATTTTCCATCCCAAAGTATTTCTCACAGGCATTCTTTAAATAAGACTCTCAGTGATGTTATCAGTAATAGACCTCATTTTCACTTTAAAGTTCCTGGGGACAAAGTTAACGTCCTAACCAAAAAAGCCCTATCATAAGTAAAATTTCAAAGAAAATACACTGCTTGTTCTTATGTTTCCTGTTAAGCATGCTCTAATTCTCTTTGTTCGGTTAGTCACTGCTAGTTTTCGGTGTCTGGTTGGACTCTTGTTTTCCCTTGGCCGAGTTAGCCAAGGCAGGCTGCCCTTGGATGGATGTGGCTGAGCACCTCAGTTCTGTGCCAAAGCTATGGTGACTGTTTTACAAAAGAGCCCTGTAAATCCATATAGCTTGTGAGATTACAATAGCATTGACTGACCCGTGCCATTTCAAAACCAGAAATAAGTAATTCCAGGTAAAAATGACATTTTTGGACTCTGGTGTTTGATGTTTTCAAAAACGACAGCAGGTGCTGGAGAAATGGCTCAGTGGATGAGAGCACTGGTATCTCTTCTACAGGGCAGCTCTCAGCTGTAGTAACTCCAGCCCTAAGGACCCAACACCATTTTCTGGCCTCCCGGGATAGCAGGCATACACACACACACACACACACACACACACACACACACACACACAGCACACAAACATATATATATAGGCAAAAACATTCATGGATATAAAAATAAACAGATCTTTTAAAACACAAATAGACAGACAGTTGAACTCCAGAAAACTGTAGGTATGTGCCTCAAAGTGATGCAGGGAAACAGGACAGCTTCATTCCAGCGTCTACGAGATGATTTTGTACTGTCAAATTAGAATCAAGGTGTGTTTGGTAAGCACAGGGTCAGAACAAAGGAATTCATCTCGGGAACATGAGAGTGGCATCTAGGAGTCCTGTTTCTGAGACTGGATATGGGTCAGCTTGACATGGCCGTTTCTCCTGGGAGCATCCCCTCTGCTTGACTCGAATTAGTGGATGGTTAGGGAATCTTTAAAATCTTAAGAGTGTGTGAATCATAGATCTGATAATCAAGCTTAGTTCCCCCCACCCCAATTCTTTTTTTTCCATTGAGCATCCTTTCTGCCTTCACGGATTGTCTCAGAGCTGCAGCTGCTGGGCCCTCTAGGGCAGAGCTGCAAGGCATGTGACAGCAGTGGTCTGGTCATCTGGCCTTCCTGCTATCGGGCTGCTCCCTAGTTGAAGACAAGGTCTTCTCTAGCCCAGACTGGCCTCAAATTTGCTATAGCCAAGGATGACCTTAAACTCCTAATCTTCCCGTCTCGGCCCTCTGCGTGTGGTAGGCTCTGAGAATGAGGCTTCAGGTATACCTGTTCGAGTTCTGGAGTCACCGGCTGTTGTTTGAAATTTGTTTGCTTGTATCCCACACAATGAGAACTATATACAGCCCTTCAAGAAGATGTATCTTGCTTGGGTCACGTGTTTTCAGTCCACAGGAAATAGTGCAGCTGGAGACTCTGAAAGGTACCAAGAGCTCACCTATCCCTGACTCTCTTCCTGTAGGAGCACCAGAGAGGAATGGAAGTATCTTTGATGACTCTTGTGAACTTTGTGGACATTACTCAGAAGCCAGAGCCACCAAGGGATCAACCCAGAATAGACTGGAAGCTGCCATTTGATTTCTTCTTTCCCTTCAAAGCAGCATTCAGCAGAGGGGCCAGTGTTCAGCAAGACTCAGCCTCTCTTGTCCTCATCCTGGGTGTCTTTCTACTTGGACTTGTCAACTCACAGACCTAGTGAGGAAAGAAAACAATCAGATTTCATTGTTCCCTATGGGAAACTCTGAAGACAGCCTACTTATCTTGGCTAAACAGGTCCTGGCTTACTCGTGATTACAGGAGGGAGTTTAGGGAAGCAGAACCTAACAAAAGAATTTTTTTTTCTTTCCTCTTTCTCATTATGTAGCCTTGGTTGGCCTAGAACTCCCAATGTAGATCAGGCTGGCCTCAGACACACAGAGACATTCCCCCTGCCTCTGCCGATGAAGTGCTAAGATTAAAGGCATGTGCCATCATGCCCAGTCAGGAATCTTTATAAATTGAAGATGGTACTCTAGAAAAGCAATTACAAATATTCCGTCATTAAAACTTTCCACTTAGGGCTCCTCGGACCTCCAGGTACACAGTGGGTTCTCTGGTTCTAAAGCTAGGCAGGACGAGAGCGCCGTCTCTTCATATTGTGTCTCTTCATGTGTTTTGCCTCTCTAATAAATGTTTGCAGGGTCTGTCCAGCCACTCACAGGCACATGCTCCTGCCATCACCCAGAGTGAACTCAGAGTGGCTGGCCCCTGCATTAGCGCTGACAATTCAAGCCAGGAAACTGCTGGCTCTGTGTTTTGTCTGGCTCTTTTGCCAAAGTATAGCCACACCCTTTGCCCAGACCTGTGTTAGGAAAGTAGTTCTTTCTACTCGTTTTCCAAAGTGAATGAAGTCCCATCTCCTTTTCTCACTAGCAGATGACCCCACCAGTCCTTTCTGTCCTTCCCTCCTTGGTGGTGTGGGGTAATAGAAGTGACTGAGAACTCTGCTGTATTGTGTCCAGTAGCATGGCAGAAGTTGACACCCTGTGATACACACCCCGAGAAATTTAAAGGGGAGTGGGGACTCTCATAAACTGTACAGTAGTATTTGAATCAGGTGACTTGGCTTCTTTTCTGGGGAAATACTCTCCTTTAGTCCAATTTTACGCCCATGACTTTTGTTTGAAGTCTGTTTCTATAAGGATAAGGGCTTGGTAGCTCACACAGAACCCCAATTGCCTGGCTGGAACACGGAAGTAGCATGCACAGAGACCGACTTCTCAAGCTAAGTTCCTCTTCTTGAATGGAGACAAATTAGTTGAGAATGATAGTAGAAATCTTAAAACTTAAAGACTCATGCTGTTCTTTTAATTAAGGCAAGGTTTTGATGGAAGAAATGACATTGATTCTAATTATTTTAAACATTAAGCCTTGGAATGAGACAGTGAATATAGAGTTAAGATGCAAAAGAATAACTCCAGTGAGGCCGTGTGAAACGTGCAGCTCTGAGGCACCACCCCCTGAGTGGCGTGTACCACTGGAGCCAGACAGTCAGTGTGGCTTGCATTATTGATGGGTGAGCTTTATAATCAGGTTGGCACATACATCAAAAATCTGCTGGCCTAGGAAAGTGAATGCGAGGGGGAAGGACCTGAGAATGCGGGATGACCTGAGTGGGGACCCAAGCATTTCTGTGGATTTAAGTGATCACAGGGACAATACCAAATAGATTAAGCAGCGATGAAAGTTCGCTTTGTGGGAATTTTAAAGCCAGGCAGAGAGGGTTGGAAGTTATTAATACTCTGAAACCCAAATTGTTTTTGTTTGTTTGTTTGTTCTGTTTTTGTTTTTTGAGACAGGGTTTCTTTGGATAGCCCTGGCTGTCCTGGAACTTGATTTGTAGCCTAGGCTGACCTTGAATTCATGGAGATCTACTTGCCTCTAACCTCCCAAGTACTGGGATTAAAAGCATATGCCATCACCACCCAGCTCCCAAATTGTCTTTTAATGAAGCAGTCACAATCTTGCCTGAGGAGCAAAAGGAAATGGAAATCCATCTCCAACTGCTGCATCATTTTGTTCCATTCCAGAGTCCTTAGTAAGTAGCCAGTTTCTCTGAAAAGGGCAAAGTTCTTGAGTCAGTTACTACCAAGCCAGAAGCACTCCTGCTTAGGGCAGTGAGGATCATGGGAAGTTGGCAGCACACACCTCAACAGAGTCCGTTACACAGATGTTATCTAGCTAAGCAGCCATGGCTCCCAGTCCCAGTCACTCTGACCACTAGGTACTAGGAGACATAGGGCCTTCAAGTTTGGTCTTAGCGGTTAATAACCCTATGTGACAGTGTATCCTAAGTTGTAGGCTAGCTGACACCCAATCCACTTGGAGCCAACTACAAGTTCTTTCCAGAGTCTGTCCCTCTCCCTCTGTTCTCCTTTGTGTAGATGCTTACTCTCACTGAGGCTATGAGCCATTCTGTCTTTAAATTTTCTGTCTAAAGGCCTGTGCAGCATTCTAAAATCTTTCAGATGTATTTCGTTTGTGTGTTTGAGGGTTTGGTTTTTTGTTTTGTTTTGTTTACATGTACATATGCATGCCTAAGTGTGATGGTTGTGAACCACTATTAGGAGCTGAGAATTGAACCTGGGTCCTCTGTAAGAATAAGCGCTCTCAACCACTGAGCAATCTCTCCAGCCCCTAAAAGACAGCCTTTTAAAGTGCACACAATTTGGCAATGATTTTATTGGTAAAGTGCCATGCAGGTAGAGGGACAGGTATCCAGAATTCTTTTTCTCTGTGTGTGTGTGTGCACATGTGTGTGTGTGTGTGTGTGTGTGTGTGTGTGTGTGTGTGTGTATTTTCTGCCCCCTGGTGGACATGGCAGCCTGCCTAAAGTTCCTGTGAGAGGCAGAGACAAGGAATCCCTGGACTAATCAGGCTAGCCCTACTAGTCAGAACAGAGCTCCAGGCTCCACTGATAGACTCTGACTCAGTGAATGAGGTGAGTGATTGAGGAGATGCAGGGCTAACCTCAAGTATATACACATGTACACACATTCACATACATACATGTGCCCTCCAACATGCACATACACTGAATACATATACCAAAAATGAATAATGTACAAGTCAGTGTAGTAACAGCAATCACCATTGATTCCAGTTCTGTCGTTACTCTGTAAAAGAAAAGCTGCCCGTTAGCAGGCTCCTCCCTCTCTCCTCCCAGTTACCTTCATGGTAATCACGAATCCCCCTTTTTTTCCCTCTGTAGATTGCCTATTCTGGACATCCATCATGTTACGTTCTTGTCTGACTTCACTTTGTGCGTTTCCAAAGTTCATCTGATTTGTAACTTGTATCAACACATTCCTTTTTTATGGCTAAATAGTTCATTAAGGTTGGCGACATATATCTGTAATCGAAGCACTTAGGAGGCAATGTCAACCTGGTCTACACAGCAAGTTCAGGGCCAGTAGGATGTCTGAGTATGTAAAGGTACTTGATGCCAAGTCTGATGATCCTAGTTCAATTCCAAGAATCCACATGGTAGAGGCAAAGAACAGACTTCCATAAATTCTGACCTCCATGAGTGCTGCGGCTTGCCCCGCCCCTCCCAAGTCACTCAACCAATCAGCCAGACAGCGGGTTCCAGGGAAGCTAGGATACATAATAAAAGACTAAATGTTCTAAATGTCCTGCTTCCTGCATGACTTCCTGGTCGTGTTGCACCTTATTTCCATTTGCTAGGACAAGCTAATATCCACCCCCCCACACCCAGTCAACAAAAAGAACATTTGTTGTGTATATGAGAAAGATACTATGACTAAATTACTTCTTTGATTTTCATAGAAAGACGAGCAGGCTGTGTGCCTAGAACTGAATTTTCCCTTATCTCCACTCTTCTAACGCACTCCTTCTCTCTACTGGCCAAATCGAATATTAGTGGCAAAACAATAAGTAAACTATAATTAAAAGAATAAAAATAAAAACAGTAGAATATTAAGGAGTTTTGTGCTTGATTCTTTGAGACACTGTTAGATCACATGTCGTTGCAGAACCCAGGCTGATCTAGAACTCACTAAGTATGAAGCCCAGGCTGGCTAGGGTCTAATCCTCTGACCTCTGCCTGTGGAATGCTGGAGTTGAAGACATGGCCTTTAAGGAAAACCAGCCTAACACGGATGTTGTTAAAAGTCCAATTTCTTTTATTTATTTTTTTCAGCACCGATAATCAATTCCATTTCACTTTTTGAGGAATCTAAAATTTTTTAAAACTAAACAAATCATATTTATTCACTCCCCAAATACTTACAAAATATCTCATAGTCTAGGAATATACTTTCCTGCTCTCCAGAGTCTTGCTCCCTAAGGGAGAAGGCAGACAAGCAATTACAATAAGATAATATGTGGGTGAACTGAAGAACCAGAATCGCCTTCTAACTTAGAGAGCTCCAGTTCCTTAGTCTAGTTACACGCCCCCCCAACCCCACTTTTTTTTTTTTTTGAGAAGCCCAGGTACCTGATCTATTCAGTTCCTGATATATTGTTTCTCTTTAATGCCCCGCCTCCCCATCTTCAATGTGCTCAAAATTTAACTCTTCCTGGCGCCAACATTCTTGCCAAAGCACAGCTCCTCTCATCTTCTTCCTGGATCTCATACTGCAGCACCCTTTCATTTCAAAGAACTCCTCTTCCTGGTACTCACCCTAGCAAAAACTGCTGTGAGCCTTCCTTCCTTTTTGCTCCCACGCCCCCTGTTGGAGCCTTTTGATCGCTTATCATTTCTTATGTGGAGCTTTGCAATAGGCTAACCAACCTAACAGTTTCTACACCTCTGTCCTGATTTCTGACACAAAAACCTGATCGTATCATTCCAGGGCTTTAAAAGTTTGGATTTACTGACTTGGTGGGCCATAAGATTCACAATCTTTAGCATAGCACAGAACACTCTCTGCATGGTGGGCTCCCAGCCAGATTTGCTCTTCTGCAAACCCAAAGGGTATATATGAGGGTGGATCTCTTCTGATCTGAAACCTCCTTTTAGGCCTCTTTTCCGCAATATCCCTACATCTTGGACTGAGAAGTAGAGGTAAGTTCCCCTTAGTGAGTGAGAAAATGAATGAATAGACTTCAGCAGCAGGACTACAAAAGCACAAAGCACGAAGTCCCAACCAAAGCTGACCTTCTCTAGACAATGGCCTATGTGCAAATGGTGCTATGGGAGGAGTACGTTGCCAGCCCGGAAGGAGATGGTCTGTGCTCGTTATGGATTCAGCTTTGGAATAATCAGTAATTATTAACAATCAGAGATTAGACACGTCGTTTTAAGTGCGGTATTCTTACCACTGCCTTTGCTGAAAACACCTGGCCTGTTACTTTCAGTTAACTGGGTGCCAATTTGTTTTATCATGGTGCCAATTTTTTTTCAACAGCCAGCTTTTTGTTTTTGTTGTTTTGAGAGGGACAGTCTTAGTTGATTCGATCTATTTGTATGGTGAGTCTGACATATAGACGATCAACTGTCAAACACGCTTTATGAAATCCATCAGCAAACTGGGAACCTGTCTTCTTTACCTTTCTGGAAAGCTGTCTGGGGCGGCTCCTTTCTGGGTGCTCGGAGCCCCGCCCCTATACTTTGCGGGCGGGGAGCCTGGGGATGGGAGGGGGCCCGCCACGTGGAGTGTGGGCGCGATTCTCAGAAGCGCCTGCGCTGTTGCCGTGGCGTAGCGCGGGTCAGACCCGTCTCCCAACGTCAGCGGCGCTACGGGGGTTCAGTCTAACGCAGCTGACGCAACTCCGGAGAGCCGGGACGTAGACGGAAGAAAAGGCGGAGGAGAGGGCGGCCGCCTCAGAGAGTGGTCCGGGGCTGGAGTCGGCGGTCAGCAGGTAGGTGACCGGGCAGCACTGCGCGCGGAACGGGGGAGATGCGGGGCGCAGCCGCGGGTCCGGAGGGGCGTGGACACGGGAGCCGGCGGCGGCGCCTAGGTGATCGGAGATGCTCATGCACAGCTCCGGTGCAGGGCATTGGAGGCCCTGGGATCTCTGGGTATGCGGCCAGACGGAGGCTGGAGGACCCTGCAACCCCTTCCCACCCAGGTCCGTAACCGCCTTCCAGTGCTCCTGTGCTGGAATAGTCCTACACCTGGTGTGTAAGCAGCCGCGGGCGCACCCCCAGGGCCTGAATCTGCAGTTCTCCGTGGCTCCGAACCTGACATATGGAGCCTGTGCATAGGTGAACCTCCCTGCAGCCAGGGTTACTCCCGGAGCCCCTGTATGTGATAATTATCTCCTGGCACTGTAAGGGTGCACTCAGATTCTTCACCTCGAATGCCTCACCCCAGCATTATTCCCCCACCCTCCGAAGCAGCAATATTTATCTTTGGGCTTTTGTCTTTTTGTTAAGTAGTGAACCATGAACTCAGCATGTGTTTGTCTGGGTAGTTTGTTGAGACTGAAGTTCACTTCTCTAAGTGTGATAAGAGCTTTCTGAGTACTTGTGTATAATCACTTGAAAGCTGTGTTGAGTTTAAAATATAAGAACTTCTCTCTCGATCACAGAGTCTCCACATATGTACCCTTTGGGTTTTTGCATCACTTGTCTGGGTTTTGCCGTCACAATAAACTGACAGGTTGAACAGTCCTTTGCAATATAAGATCTTGCCTCTCTAGGATAGAGACAAGTGGTACAAGGAAAGACCTCGTACCTCAATGGATCTCAAACATTCAGAGCTTTCTGCACTTAGACAAGAGAGGCGTAAACAATCTAGAATATGCGTGTGACCAGATCAGAATCTTTTTTGAGACAGGGTCTTATGTAGCTCAGGCTGGCCTAGAACTGACTGTGTGCTGAGAATGACCTTGGGTTTCTGATCCTTTTTACCTCTACCTCCCCCAAATGCTGGGATTACAGGCGTTGGCTACTCAGCACAGATGTCCATCTGTGTGTCTCTTTTGACCTTTTTGTGTCAGTGAAGGAAATAAGTGGAAAGGTTAAGACATGTCAGTGCCTTTTAAAAGACAGAGAAGGGAGGCAGACATTAGCCTTATCTGTGCGCCCAGGCGCTTTCAGTGCTTTGCCTTGTGTAACTCCCACAGTGATCTCAGGCCCTATTAACCGTTCTTATCCCTCATTTACAGATGAGGAGATCGAGTTCCTATGGCAAGGACAGAGCCAACACTTAAATCTATCCAATCTAAAGTTGTGAGGATTCCCATCCTGTGTCCCATACTCCAAAGGGGAGCTTAGAGCTCATCTGGGGAGAGCAACCAACAAACAACCCAGCTCACCCAGAGGATTATGTCCGACTTCGAAGACTAGAGTTGCCAGGAAGGTGGTACAAAGGGGGCACAACTGAAATTATGTCACTACTGGCTCTTTATAGGTATTTTTGCAGAATCTATATAAATAATTGTTTAGCAGCCACTATTGAGGGGATTTATTTAAGTGTTGAACATAGACCATGGGTCTGCAACATACTTCAGTGTTATGCAGAAACTAAAGCCAGCAAAGCCATCGCTCACCAGGTTTGGTTATCTGCTTGTTGCCGTGTGTTCTATTACAGAGCTATCCTGTCCCTTTGTCCCGGCTCCATTTCTGTGATTTTGTGCAGAATGATTGCAGAATAGTATATTCCATTCCTTGCTTTCTCTTTGCTGTGGAGCTAAATGCTTTTTTTTTTTTTTTTTGAGACACACTGGAAAAGAAATCTGGGGACCGGTTCAGTGGGTAAGGAAGGAACTTGCTGTGCAAGCATGGAGACCTAAGTTCAAATCTCTAGCACTCATGTAAAATTCGATGTGGTGGTTTGCCTCTGTAACCCCAGAGCTGGGGGAAGCAAACCAGCAGGTACAAGCTCACTGGCCAACCAGTACAACAGAAACTGTAAGCTCCAGGTTCATTGAGAGACTTGATCCCAAAAAATACAGTGGACAGAGATAAAGCAACGCACCTGAACTGACTTCTGACCTCCACATTTGCAGGTAACCCTGACCACCAACACATACCTACAAAGGATCTGGATTATATCCACCAGTCTTAGCAAAACAGGTAATAACAAAGATTTAGTACCAATATATAAACATTGTTTTGTTTTTTCTAGATTTATTATGTATACATCATTCTGCCTGCATGTATACCTGCAGGCCAGAAGAGGGCACTGGATCTCATCATAGATGGTTATGAGCCACCATGTGGTTGCTGGGAATTGAACTCAGGACCTCTGGAAGATTAGTCAGTGCTCTTAACCTCTGAACCACCTCTCCAGCCCATAAACATTGTGTCTTTAAAATATTTTATCATTCAAAATATTTATTGTATCTAATTACTGTTTGGTGTAAAAAGTAAAAAGCAGTTCTTTAAAATAAAAATACATTTGTTTGTCTATTCCTGTAACACTGAGGAAGTAGTTTCTAACTTAGCAAAGTTTAAACCAAGGGGGTCATGGTTTTGCTCTTAAGAGAAGAAGTGGCGGGGTTTATAATAAGTTAACTAGTGTTTTTTCATGATTTTCCCCGTTAATAAAATTCTTCCCACAGGTGTTTGGATTTGTAACCACATCTCAACATGTTGAGACACATGCACCGCTCTGGGTTCCAGCCCTTCAGCCAACGTCTTCTGCCGTGGGTTCAGTCCATAGCTCTGCCCAGATCACGTATGTACCTCTGATGCAAATGTCAGAAGTGTGATGAGCAGTGTGCTGCAGGCCAGGTTTTAGAGGGGGAGGGGGAAGATGTAGTTTGGCAGAAGTATGTAGAAAGCTGCCTGCTGGTGGGCAAATATTTGTTTTTGTCAATAATATGGATTTTTTATAATCATTCCTCCCAAAATATGTACAAGTTACTTGACTCTTTTTCCTCCCTTCCTCTCTCCCTCCCTCCTTCCCTCCCTCCTTCCCTCCCTCCCTCTCTCTTTCTCTCTCTCTCTCTTTCTTTCTTTCTTTCTTTCTTTCTTTCTTTCTTTCTTTCTCTCTTTTGGCTGCAATTAAGTATTTAATTTTGAGTTGCTAC